ATGACAGCCGCCTTCAAGTCCTCAAAGGCTTATTGGCACTCCTCCGTCCAAGCCCAACATTTGTTCTTCTTTAACAACTCTGTGAGAGGGGCAGCTCTTGCCGAGTAACCTTTGATGAATCGTCGATAATAGTTTACTAATCCCAGGAAGGACCGCAACTCAGCCACACATGTTGGAGGCTCCCATTCCTTTATAGCTTGTACCTTTTTCTCATCCATCTTGAGGCAGCCATGTGAGATGACATGTCCCAAGAAGGAGACTTCCTCCATAGCAAAGGAGCACTTTTCCTTCTTCACATAAAGCTCATTTTCACGAAGGGTTTTGAATACAATCTAGAGGTGTTCAACATGTTCCTCCAGCGTGTTGCTATAGACGACAATGTCATTTAAGTACACCACCACAAACCGATCGAGATAAGGATGAAAGATCTTATTCATCAAAGTGCAGAATGTGGCTGGTGCATTAGTTAGTCCAAAAGGCATGACTAACCACTCAAAAGACCCATACCGTGTCACACAGGTGGTCTTGGGTTCATCTCCTTCGGCAATTCGAACTTGGTGATACCCAGACCTTAGATCCAATTTGGAAAAGTACTTTGCCTTTCCAAGGCGATCAAACAAGTCAGCTATCAAAGGAATAGGATATTTGTTTTTAATAGTTACCTTGTTGACAGCCCGGTAGTCGATGCATAAGCGCAAGGACCCATCTTGCTTCTTTTGGAATAAGACCGGTGCTCCAAAAGGTGCTTTTGATGGTCGGATGAAACCTGCGTTGATCAACTCCTTTAGTTGCTTCCTCAATTCCTCCAACTCAGGTGGTGCCATACGATATGGCACCATGGCCGATGGACGAGTTCCTAGTTCTAGCTCGATCTCATGATCCACCTCTCTACGTGGTGGAAGCTTCTTGGACAACTCAGCAGGCATAATGTCTTGGTTCTCTACCAGGACACGGGCAATTATGGGAGGGACTTCTTCCTTAACCTTGTCCCCAAGGTCAATCTCCTTCAGTGTTGCCAAGTACGTAGCCTCTCCCTTCTTTATTCCCTTTTTGACTTGCAAGGCCAAGAGTTGGTGTCCACCACTCACCCTTCTTATAGGCACAAAGCAAGGGTTTTCCTTCTCCAGTATGCAAAGTAAATTATAATAGGGCATTGGGTAAGCGTTTACCCGCCTGAAGAACTTAAGTCCCAGTATGACCTTGAAGTCATCCATAGGAGCTACGGAGAAGTCCATCTTACCACTCCAGTTCCCCAAACATAGCTCAACTCCTTGTGCTATGCCATATAGTTGCTTAGGAGGTGAGTTAACTGCCTTCAGACTTCCTCCCTCCTGCACCACCTTGAGACCTATTCTCTTGGCCTCTTCCGGAGTGATAAAATTATTGGTAGCTCCAGTGTCACACATCATGGTGACGGGTGATCCATTCAGCTTCCCATCTACGTACATCAAACCCTCACCTTTAGAATTCTTTGGTAGGGATTTGACTTTTAAAGCATTGAGGAGTCGTAGAGACCCCATCTCCGCATTAGGCTCCTCTTCTTTAGCTTTCTCCATTATGGCAGCCAACGTACCTAACTTGGGACATTCTCTCATCCGATGAGGGCCTTTGCACACAAAGCATCCGGTTTGGTCCTTGAAGGTCTTCTTCTGTCCTTCAGGTTGTTTCTTCTGTGGGGACCTACTATCACCCCCTTTAAATGTCCCCTTGCCCTTGTCTCCCCCACCTTTTCCAGGATTAGGTTTGGAAGACTTGGGTTTAGAGGACTCCCTTTTTTCCTTATGATACTCTATGAGACTTTCAGCTACTATGATTGCCTCATCAACGGTCTTCACGTCACGCCGTTGTAGCTCATGCTTGGCCCAATTCTAGAGACCATCGATGAAATAGAAGAGAGCTTCTTCACTGCTCAGATTGGGAATCTGAAGCGTTAAAGAAGTGAAGTCTCGTACATAGTTAGAGATAGTGGTCTTATGTTTGAAATCCCTCAATTTCTTTCGTGCCTCATAAACCACATTCTCTGGGTAGAATTGCCTCTTTAACTCTTTCTTGAAATCTTCCCAAGTATTGATTGTGCAAAGCCCTTTGTCCATGTATGCATGCTTCCTTCACCACCATAGCATGGCATTGTCTATAAGGAAGTAAGCAGCGGTACGCACCTTGGTTTGATCATCAATCATCCCCAAGGTATCGGCATAACGTTCCATTTGCCACAAGAAGTTCTCAACTTCCTTGGCATCTCGTACCCCTTTAAACTCCTTGGGCTTGGGAAGGTCTAACTTGACTTCCCTCATTCCACTATTTCCATCCAATAGTAGGTTTCTTCCTCTTTCTTCTAAGGAAGTCTTGAAAGTGTTGAGCTGTTGTTGCATCGTGGTGATGGCATCCATCACCTTTGCCTCTAAGGATTTCACAACATCCTCCCGTCGATCCTCAGAGTTTTGTAAGGTTTCCACACTGCTCTTTAACTCAGCAAGTTCTTTAAGAGTGTGGTTCTCCAACGTGCCCATATCACCCTCAACCTTCTCTACTCTACCCACCATTTCTTCCATTGCTTTCTCTAAAGTATCAATTTTTATAGAGAGTACAGTAAGGTCTTCTGAACGTACCTTACTAGTGCCTCATGCCTTCTTGCCACCCTGGTGTGGAGGTTGGGATTCCCTTCCCCTCTCCTCGTCGTGAGCAAAAGTCTCCTCAGTCACACCCGACATTCTTGCCTACTAGTAGCACTATCGAAACCAGGGCTCCCTCGAACCTTGGCTCTGATACCACGTTGTCACGGCCTTGGAACTCCCTTTCCTTAAACCATGCCGGCCTTAGCTTGATCCCCCTCTTGATCTTTGCTAAGTCAGCCGAATCCCACAAGTAGGCAAAGAGACTAAGAGAGCTAGATGCACAAGTAGAAAGTAGAGAGCTTAAGTGAATGAACTTTGAGAGCTTTAATACTTTGCTTGAGTGGTTACAAATGAAGGGTGAGGGGATATTTATAGACCTCCCCCTTTCTCTAGAAAATTCCCACCTCCTTAATGGACAGTTGGGATTGATTCGATCTAACGGTATACATTCTATCTCTAGATATTTCTATAGAAATATCTACAAGGAATATCTTGATATTTACAAGGAGAATTCTAGAATGTATAAGAGTAGGATATCCCTAAAATGATCTAGATACTACAAGTGTTCTACACTATTCTAGAGATATCTAGGTCTTTCGGGGTCATACCGACGTATCCCAGAAGACTCCAATGCCTTCTTGATTATCCTGGATCGTTCTTGAAGCTTCTAGAATATTTTAACCTCGTGAAAATTCTAACTTTGTCACATATTGCTCTTCCCAGGCTGTTGCAACCTCTCCCAATTCCAAGTCGAGTTTGGTAAAGTATTACTATGGATTTTATTAAGAGACTTCCTCAATCACAGAGTAAGGACACAATATGGGTACTAATTGACAGAATGAGCAAGCATGCTCATTTCATTCTTCTTACTCATCCTTATTCAACATCTTCTTTAGCGCAATTTTTTATGGATAATGTGTATAAACTACATGGTGCACCTACTGAAATTATAAATAATCGTGGTCCTATATTTGTGAGTGGATTTTAGAAGGAATTTTGCAGGTTTTGGGGGTTAAACAGCAACTTTCTACTGCATATCATCATCAAACAGATGAGCCATCTGAAGTTCTAAATAGGTGTTTAGAAACCTATCTTAGATGTGTGTGTTGGGAACAACCAAGGGATTGGAGCAAGTGGTTGTCACAAGCTAAATGGTGGTATAACACCACATTCCATACAGCTACTAAAGCAACTCCACATGAACTTTTTGTGTGGTCAAAAAGCCCCCATGCATTGTCCTTATTTGCCTAATGGTTTTGTTTTGGATGTTTTAGACGGGACTTTTTCAGCTAGAGAAGCTGTGATAGCTGTTTTAAAGCATCATCTTCACCGGGCAGCCAATTTGATAAAACAGAAAGCTAATTCTCACTGAACAAATCAAGAGTTTGCTGTTGGCCAATGGGTTTTCCTTAAGTTGCAACCCCTATAGACAAATTTCTGCAGCCGCAAGGAGTACTCAAAAACTAGCTCCTAGATATTTTGGTCCTTACAAGGTCATTGAACGAATAGGTGCTGTTGCCTATAAGTTAGAACTGCCCACTGATTCTAGAATACATCCAACTTTTCATGTTTCTCTATTGAAGCTATATCCTCATCCTAAAGTAAAGCAAATGCATGCACCTCTTGATTGGTCAAAGTTACCACTGGCTTTAGAACCCAAAAGTATTCTACAAAAGCGAGTTGGTAGAAAGAGGGGATGAATTACTACTGAAGTTCTGATCAAATGGAAGCAATTACCTGATGAAGAAGCATCTTGAATGGCTCTACATCAGTTACAGCAAAAGTTTCCTCAATTTGTTATCAATGATCCTTGAGGGGCAAGGATCTTTTTTTTCTTTTCTTTTTTTTTGGGGGGGGGGGGCTATTGTTATAGTTTTATAAAAATATTAGTTAGTTTAGATTTAAATGACAGTTAATGAGATTTACCAGTCCTATAAATAATAAGACATTTAATTTGTAAGCCTATCTAAATGATCACAAAAGTACTATGCAGAATCCAAGTGATCCTTAATTTCTTCTTTACCTTCCCTGGACTCTTTCCCCTACCTTCTTGTTCTTTTCTCTGCTCTCTCCTATCTCTTTCAATCCTTTCATTACCCAGAATTATCCTAACAGATCACTGTGACCCAAAAATGTGGTCGTTAAAAACTCATTAATAATGAAATCTACAAAATAATGAAACTACTGACAAAAGTTTAATTGAACTGAGCTCAACATTTCTTAAATTCAACACAGCCCAAAATAGAGACCATGGGGAGATCTCAACTGACCGATAGCTGAATGTATATATGCCTTACAAGACAATGATTAAGCATGCATGTCCAAAATAATGTCAAGGAAAATATTCTGCTTATATCAAGAAGACAAGAATCAAAAATGCCTTACCAAGTCCGTACACGAGTGAAAACAAATTTGATGTAACCCAATAACAAAATATAGCCTGCACAATTACACAAATGACATGTGAGACTGCATACAAATGATCAAGCAAAGTAAAGCTACTTTAGACGGGGAAGACAAACAGGCAAGAACTCTCTTTCGCTATCAGCTATATAAATCCCCACACTATCTGTCATTAGTGGAGACAAAGGAGAAAGATCAGGAAAGACTGTGAAAGGAATCTTTGAATAGACATTTACAAACAAGAATATGCTTTTCATTTCTTTTCAGAAAAAGTGACTATTATATGTCATTTGCAATTAGTCACTTGCCTTTTCTAAAAATCTAAAATTATTATGCTATTGGTCCTATTCTATAAGCTGAAATCATAAAAAGACTCGATGCCCCATAAAAAGTTTCACTTTATAATTTAATTACAGGAAAGCTAAATACATCAAATGAAACCAACTTCAGTGGAACTATAAAATACAGAGCTGCAATTGTTTGAAGTGCAGAGGTTGGAGCAAACGAAATTTATTTCCTTCAAGTAAGGCTTAGCTGGAAGAGCTTACCTTTGGAAACGCCATGGTAAAAGGAACGGTAAGAACAGCAAGACCCCTAGAGACATTTTTCATGGTGCCAGCAACAGGATTTCCTTCCATACCCTCTTGCATATTGCACTATAGAACAATAAGTGAAAATACCAATTATAAATATGGATTAAAAAAATAATAGACAACACCACTCTCATCAAGTTATTTTACGGTAACAAGACCCTAATACGTCATATTGAAGAATATAAAAACATATAAAGGAAAACTGAAAAGGTCATTCCTACAAACGTCTATTTTTTTCAGCTTTTTTTTTTTTTTTTTTTTTTTGCTTGGATGTGGAGTATTATCCCTTCAAACCATGAATTAGTCCCAAAAGTTTGCATACCATAAGATAAATACGGATGTGTATGTTTCAAATAAGCTTTAACATTGTCGTTTCTATGTTACACTACCTTTTTAACAACCTCTTGTGCAGTAAATTTACAAGATAAATTTTAAAGCAGAAGAGAAAATGAGTACAATCAAAACATTCAAGCAAGAAAAAAGAAGACAAATCTGTTACACGTTATGCTTTTTTATAGTTATTTGATGGCTTTATTATCTTTATGCTGATAGGTTATTATTGTCTTTTCATATATTTCGGCATTATAGATTAGTTATTGACAGTATAGGACCTTACCTTTTGGGACACGTTTCTAGGTTTAGGGTATATATTGTATCCTACGTCCTTGGCACATTTTTGTGAATGAAATCAGTCTCTTCTCTCCCTTCTTCTCTCTTCCCTTAGCATTTTGGTATTAGAGCCGTCTCTCCAGCCATGGCTCCACTGGAGACTCAGTCCTCTACTGAACACGTGGGCGACCTTGAGCATCGACTAGAGATGCAATCTGCATTAGTGGCTAGCACTCAACTTGCTATGGACAAACACACACAGGAAATATCCAACATGCAGCTAACCATAAACCAATTTTCTACCCAGCTTAATGACATTAATGCCAAGCTTTCCATGATTATTAATCACCCTTCACGTTCTACTAACCTTGAAGCCAATGAACCTTCCCAGGCTCCTACCGCGACAAATACACCACCTAGACCGGCAGCTTCGGCCTCTCTTCCACAATCAATATTCCACCACCCTCATTTCCCAAACCAACCACGTCCTCTGCAACAATGAGAGAGTACGCGATTCTTGGCTTCTTGATGACCATTTACAGCAACTGATTAGAAGTCTGGAAACTAATCCCTTTTCTTATCCTAAGTACACTTGGGAACACCTATTGTTGAAATGAAAGGGTAAGCTGGTGGTGGGTGCTGATCGAGGTCTTCGGGAGTCTTTACTTCAGTTTTTTCATACTGATGGCATTAGGGGCCATTCAGGTATGACTCCCACCTACAAATGGCTTGCCTCTTTTTTTTATTAGAAAGGAATGGAAAAGGATGTTCGCAATTTTGTACGTCAATGCACTACATGTCAGCGCTTTAAACCAGAATTAATTGCCTCCCCTGGTCTTCTCCAACCCTTACCTATTCCGGAACATATTTGGTCTGAGCTCTCAATGGACTTTATTAGTGGCCTTCCCAAATCTTATTCTAAGACTACTATTTTAGTTGTTGTTGATCGTTTATCTAAGGCTGCTCATTTCATGGCTCTCAAGCACCCATTTACTGCTGTAGATGTGGCCAATATCTTCATGGATAATGTGGTTAAGTTGCATAGGTTTCTTAAGTCTATTGTTTCAGACTGGGATCCTATTTTCTGTGGGAAATTCTGGAAGGAACTCGCAAGGCCGTATAGGGTCAAATTACAATTTTCTTCAGCATACCACCCCCAAACGGATGGCCAAACCAAGGTACTCAACCGCTGTTTGGAGTGTTACCTCCATTGCATGTCGGGAGATTTTCCTAAATAGTGGGTTAAGTGGCTGCCACTTGCTAAATTATGGTACAATACTACCTTCCACTCTTCCATTGGTATGTCTCCCTTTGAAGCTGTTTATGGGGTGCCTCCTCCTACTCATCTACCTTACATTGCTGGTGATTCATCTAATGAAATGGTTGATAGAACTTGCAATTCACGAGAGCTTACTATTCAACTTTTGAAAGAACACCTATTGAAGGCTCAACATAGGATGATTCAACAAGCTAATAAGCACCGGTCTGAGTGAAAATTTGTTGAAGGAGACATGGTTTTTCTCAAACTACACCCTTTTAGGAAGAATCCCTTGAACAACTCTTCCTTGCATAAGCTAGCTGCTCGTTACTTTGGCCCATTCAAGGTGTTACAGCGTCTTGGTGAAGTTGCATATAAACTGGACCTTCCTCCTCACACTAAGGTCCACCCAATTTTTCATGTTTCCATGTTAAAAAAATATGTTAGCACAGCTGTCCCCCACCTTACCCCCGATGGATGATCATGGTCAATTTATGCTGGAACCAGAGGAATTACTGGGTAGAAAAATCATTAAGCACCATAATCTACCGGTGACTCAAGTGTTGGTTCGCTGGAAATTTTCTCAACCTGAAGACGCTACTTGGGAAGATCTTTCAGCCATAAAACAGCAGTTCCCTCACTTTAAGACAGATGCTCCAGCTTCTACCACTATCCTTGTGGACAAGGATGTTTTTTATAGTGGGAGTATTGTTACACGTTATGCTATTTTATAGTTATTTGATGGCTTTATTGTCTTTATGCTGATAGGTTATTATTGTCTTTTCATATATTTCTGCATTATAGATTAGTTATTGACAGTATAGGACCTTACCTTTTGGGACACGTGTCTAGGTTTAGGGTATATCTTGTATCCTACGTCCTTGGCACATTTTTGTGAATGAAATCAGTCTCTTCTCTCCCTTCTTCTCTCTTCCCTTAACAAAATCTAGAAAGAGGATTTAGAGAAAGATGAAAAACAAGTTTCCGTAGAGAAAATGCCCACCTCTACTGTTATCAAGAATGACAATGCAGTCAGAATTGGCAGAATGTACAAGCTATCTGGTGTTGAGAGATCAAGGAACCAGTAGGCTCCACCATTTTTGAATGATGGCATTTTTTCAGCCATGTTTCTTATCTAGCAAATAATACAAGGATAAAAAAAAGGTAATAGATAATTACTAGGTTCAAACTCTCAAATTTAAATTTAATAGGTAGAACATGAACTTGAAAAGTGTCTTACTGCAAGGAAAAAGCTGACAAAGATAGGACCTTGAATAAAGAGTCCTTTCAGTGGAGTAAATGGACTCACACCATATCTGCATCACCACAATCACAATGATAAAAGGTATGGTGAAACATAGAATCTATTAGTTTTGGTTTTTGCACAATACTCAGTTCCAAAATGCCATAAACCAACGAGTAATAATCATTAGATCTCTAATGTTTAGTTCTAACAAGTATTCTTCCACAAACTCAATGATCACACACCTATTAGAAAGCAAATTTTTAAATCTCAAATCCTCGTGCATAGCCAAAGACTCTATCCCTTTCAAACATGACAGAAGCACATGACAAAATGAATTTGAGGGATCAGACCATTGGCATCTGTCAGGCCACAAATTTACGGGCAGAGAAAAGTGACTATTTGTTGATTTCAGCTTCATATAACCACACAGATTGTTTCAACAAAACATTATATCACGAAAAGAAAATTATGTAAGATGATTGATTGCACGGTTCAATCATGGGATGAAAGTTACTATAAAAACAATGCCAACTGCCAAAGATGTTCTTTATATGAAGACTGGAAACTACTTACTCATTGAACAGCTTCTTCATCTTCTTTTGACCTTCAGCAACAGCCATGGGATCCATAGCCTAAACAATGAATGTTATTGTACTTAGAGAAGCATTTCTTTAGAAGAAAAACATTTAGTAGCATCTAGTACATGTATCCAACAAGAAGGATATGGATAAAAGAACCTTGCAACTTAAAGGTGAACAAAATTTAGACAAAAATATTATAAAATTCACAAAGAAGCATCATACTTCAGGCCGGTGCCCATTGCAAATTGTATATACAACAGGTTCTGGATCGTATTTCCCTAAAAATGAATGTTATTTTACTCAGACAAGCTTTTCAGAAGCAAAACATTTGGTAGCATCTAATACGTATATCCAACAACATGGATATAATAGAACACTCGCAACAAATGAACAACATTTACACAAAAGTTTTACAAGTTTACCAAAGAGGCATCATATTTCAGGTTGGTGCCCATTGTGCATCGTATTTACAACACCTTCTAGACTGTATTTGCCATGAAATTGAACGACCACATTTTTACACAGCAAATAGAGACTGGTTAAATGGATCTAATTTAGAATGCCAAAGAACACAACTTTCAAATATAGGATCATGGCAATACAACTTTTCTTGGTACAAAAGCACTAATACTTGCATGGCAAGGTTAATTGCATTGCTTCATTGTATGGAACCCAAACTGGACAGGACCGGCCGGTTCAGCCCATGAACCGGTAACCCGGTCTCTTTCCCAGTCTGGGTTTTCACTTACACAGGTCAGCCACTGACCCAGTGTGACCCCACTGACCCATGGTCAGCCCGAGATAACTCAACTAACCCGACTGGGTTGCTAGGTCAGCCAAGTCACTGTTTTTTTGTTTTTATTTTTTAAAATTGTAAAAACTAAATAAAAAGTAAAAAAATTGGCTTGAAAATTAAAAAAGTGAGGCAAAAGAGGGAAAAGCAATTAAACCAAATTTCACTATCTATGGTTCGAACTTCAAATAGAGGGCCTTAATTGTAAGTTCAAACTTAAAAGATTCAACATTCTTCTAAGTTAATTATGCCTTGATTGTTTGAATCTTCACTTACTTGCTGTTGTTCATTTGTCTGATTGTTTCTTAGCATTTATGAATTATGATTGTCATTGTTGATGATTTTAGTGTTAGTGATTATTAGTTTTAGACTTTTTAATGATTGAAGGGTTGTAAATTGTAATTGTAAGAATGAATATTTAGAAAGTTATATTTTATTATTATTGGACTTTTGGGTAGTTGAGTAAGGTACCTAATAAACTTAAAGAAAAGTTTTATCGTACTGCTATCAGACCAGCCATGTTATATAGTAGTGAATGCTAGGCTCTAACAGGACAGCAAGAGCATAAAGTTGGAGTAGTAGAGATGAGAATGTTACGTTGGATGTGTGGACATAAACGTAAAGATAAAATTCGAAATGAGCACGTACGCGAAAAAGTGAGGGTAGCACCAATTGAGGAAAAAATGGTAAAAAATCTATTGAGATGGTTTGGGCATGTACAAAGAAGACTATGGGAGGCACCAGTGAGAAGAGTGGAACATATAACTTTAAGCTCAATTAAGAAGGGTAGAGGAAGGCCTAAGAGAACATTCTTGGAAATTGTTGAACGCGATCTCTTAATTAATAATATTCTGAAAAGTTTGATAAATGATAGAGCACAATGACGTCTTGCAATCCATGTGACCAACCCTACCTAGTAGGATAAAGGCTTATTGTTGTTGTTGTTGTGGACTTTTGGGTAGTTGTAATTCTATACTTATTGTTGTATTTGTATCTTGTATTAGATATTAATATTGGATTTGGTTGAATGTTTTCATGATTAATGTCTTTTTATTTACATTGTATTATTTTAATCATAACTGGTTTGCCCTCTAGGTTGACTACTGGTTTAACCATGATTGAACTACTAACCCATAACCTATTGGCTTGACCAATTCAATGACTAATCTGGTTTTCAATACCTTGCATTGCTTCCACTATTACCATTTTATTAATAGCAACTATTACTGCCAAAAAAAAATTGACTTCATGACATATAAAAAAGTTACCTTATCTTGCATCTCTTGCTTAATGTCCTCCAAGTGAGGCCTCATTAGCTGAACAAATGACACAATATAATTAGGTACCAAGATTTATAACTACACAATGTTAAAAGTAGAAAATAATTATGAATACAACCATGGAAAAGACCTTAAGGACCTTTTTAGAACAAGCAGAAAGATGGGGAGGAAGGAAGGAAGGGAATTTTCTGTGTGACAGCCAAACCCTTGTTTGGGTGGTCTAAGTTTAATAAGGAGAAACTGATAAAGGGAATCATGAAGGGCCCATTCCCATCAAATTTTTGTCAATTCTAAATTTGGGGAAAATAAAGGGAAGGAACAGGGGAAGTAATTGTTATTTCTTCACTTAGATTCTACAAAAAAACAAGAATATGGTAATAGGCGGTGCAACATACAGTAAGCTTACTGGTGGCCTTGAGTTGATTTATTAAGAGTGGGAGTGTTGCACCTCGAATAAGAAGGGTTGTTAGAGTAATAGCTGCCCACCTAAAAGAAAGAAGTGATACAATAAAACATTTTATTCCAAAATTTTAGCGTGCCACATCTCTTATAGAACATGAATAAAGAAAACATTGGCATATCAACCCAGAATATGCATCATGTTCTATAATATAAATGAGTAAAAGAACAATCATGTTAACATAAAGTGAAATTAAGCAGTCAAGAGAACCGCTGAAATTCAAATTCTCCTTTGTTAATCATAGAATTCATTCCCAATTAAACACTGCTCTTCCTATCAAGTTGGAAATCCCCAAATCATTTAAAAAGAGTCTTCAAATGCAATATCTTTAATGAGAGTATTCTTTGGGCTGATCTATGGTATCCAATAAAAGTTGGTATTTGGACAAATAACAGCACAAGTCTGGATCTATATCAACAAAACAAGATATTTAACAAACAAAATGATATGTTAATTCAGACCCATAATCCCCGAAATCAAAAAGCACATGCAAAGCACATGTATGCCAAAAAATCCTTCATATCCATGCAGATTGGTTTGTAGGATAAGCAACAACTTCTCAAGGCCTTATACAACAAAAAATCTTCCCATGGCATTTCCTAGTTTAATTATGTGGTTCCTTAGATTCAATCTTATTTTGCAATGCTCAAGATTTTATTTTCTTATGATATATCTTCTGGAAAGTACTAAGGCAAGGTACGCATAAACTCACCAGTTTAAACCAGTGTAGGTATGCACGTAATCTATGAAATACTGCAAAGCTTGAACAGGTAAAAATGAATCAGCAGAAGCTATGGCAACTTCATTAAGTATAGGAGCCTGGGAAGCAATAGCCTCCAAGGTTTTGTCTGTTAGGACATTTGCTACATCACTCGTGAACTCAATATTATTAGAACCCTGATTGATTGTAGACATATATTGGCAAAAAGAATATCCTGAGCATGGGACGAGGAAACTATTTGAATTTATTGCAAGCTGAGAAGAGGCAGCAAACCCTGGTGATACATTTATAGAGCTGCCAAATGACCTTCTCTGGAGAAGATGACCAACTTCTGCTGCAGGTAATTTTTCATCTGGACATTCACATATACGTTCATCACTATGGAAAAGATAACTTAAAGATGGGTGGCATTTCTGATCAATGAGTTTTCCTCTTATCAAGAGACAGCGTCTGTAAGCCATTGATATTTGTTGCAAGCTCTATCAAGAATCAAGTAACCAAATTAGACATAAATCTATGAAACCACTTTTTATCAAACAACATTGTCCAAAAATTGACCAATAGTTAGTCTATCATTCACAACATTTAATATTACACAATCATGCAGGACCAATGATCCAATAGCAAATGTGGTGTATTTGCAACTGTATGTGAGTTCAAGTGGCCGTACTCAAACTTTAGTGTATCTAATGTGACATTAGCATAATCCAATATCACATGTGGTGTATTTGCAACTGTATGTCAGTTCAAGTGGCCGTACTCAAATTTTTCTCTTGTTAAACTCAGAGGTAGCCAAATGTGCAGCTAAGTAAAGTTGTGTAAATGAAATCTGAAAGAGTTGCGTGCCAACAATTGAATTTAGACTAGGTACAAAGTTGTTTAGCCATTCCTCGAATGCATATCAACAACCAAGAGACACCAATCCAATTCTGTCATGTAATCATAATTATATAGTTAAAATATATAATTAACTATATAATTACTGACGCATTAATCTTCTCCCAATTTTTTTCCAGCGTGAAGACCAATTAGAAGCCATACGTGCATTATCAAGAAGATCAATTCTCTCCCAATTTCATGCCAAAAAAAACTGTTCATTTTTTACAGTAAGCTATGACATTGAACATAAAATAAAATGGGACTAAAAAAATCCATTCATCTGGGAAATGTTGTGCTCAATCATAGAGCATAAAACAAGATCACATCATTTTGGGATCCAAGTGAAATACATAAACAATAAGGTCCAAACTCAAATAAATACATCAACTTCTATTCCTAAGTTGTTTTTGATAATCTATCAGACATTTGGTTAGCAATTGCATCTCTTATAAGTCCACCCTTAGCAGCCTCATCACTCATAGTAGCTTTTGGAAAAGAGACAAGCAAGAAACATAAAACGATAAGTAAGAGATGGTAACCAGACGAGAGAAAATACTGACAAGAAATTGTCCATAAACTTCTGCTAGAAGGCTTCAGGCCTAGGCCAAATAGATAAGTTTGTTTACCAAGTATTATCTATTTAATATCTGTTTTATTCTCTTTTAATTGCACCATTTCTTTTCCTGATTTTTAGGATCAGAATCTGATTCGAATTTCAAATCAGATATCAGATCAGATTTTATTATGTTTTCATTTATGGTTGTAACCCTAATCTACCCTATATGTGCCTCACGATCAGATTAATCAAATTAAGGGCTGAGATGACATTTTTCCTCAGCTAATTTCATGGTATCAGAGCTATGGCTGATCAAAATCTCCAATTTGGTCAATACAGAGCAAACAACAACAACAACAACAACAACAAACCTTTATCCCACTAGGTAGGGTCAGCTACATGGATTGCAAGACGCCATTGTGCTCTATCATTTATCAAGCTTTTAGGAATATTATTAATTAAGAGATCGTGTTCAACAACTTCTAAGAGTGTTCTCTTAGGCCTTCCTCTACCCCTCTTAATCGAACTCAAAGTTATATGTTCCACTCTTCTCACTGGTGCCTCCCTTGATCTTCTTTGTACATGTACAAACTATCTCAACCGATTTTCTACCATTTTTCCTCAATAGGTGCTACCCTCACTTTTCGCGTATATACTCATTTCAAATTTTATCTTTACGTGTACGTCCGCAAATCCATCGTAACATTCTCATCTCTGCTACTCCAACTTTATGCTCTTGTTGTCCCGTTAGAGCCCAGCATTCACTACTATATAACATTGCTAGTCTGATAGCAGTGCGATAAAACTTTCCTTTAAGTTTATTAGGCACCTTACGGTCACAAATAACTCCTTTAGCTTTTCTCCAATTAAACCACCCAGCTTGAATCCTATGTGAAATATCTCCACTGATTTCGCCATCATTTTGAATAATGGCTCCCAAATATCTAAACTTTTCCACTTGAGGTATAATTTGATCTCTCAATTTCACTTCCAAATTATTGTCAAATAGTCTCTTACCAAATTTACAATATAAATATTCCGTCTTACTCCTACTCAGACGGAAACCTTTCGACTCCAATGTCCTCCTCCATAACTCAAGTTTGCAATTAACATCTTCTCTTGCCTCTGCTATAAGAACTATATCATCCGCAAAGAGCATACATTTGGAAATTTCTCCTTGAATATGTTCCGTCAAAACTTTTAGGATCAAGTTGAACAGATAAGGACTCAGAGATGATCCCTGATGAAGTCCAATCTTTATAGGAAAATCCTTTGTTTGACCACTAGGCGTTCTTATACTAGTTTTTACCCCCTCATACATATCTTTTATGACTTTAATATAAGCAATCCGTACTCCCTTTTTTTCAACGCTTTCCAAAGCATTTCTCTTGGTATACGATCATAAGCTTTTTTCAAATCAATAAAAACTATGTGTAAATCTTTATTTTTACAACGATACTTTTCTATTAATCCCCTTAATAGATAAATCGCTTCTGTAGTTGATCTACCTGGCATAAAACCAAACTGATTCTCAGAAATACTTGTCTCCAATCTCAACCTGTGCTCAATTTCTTTCTCCCACAATTTCATGGTGTGGTTCATGAATTTAATCCCTCTATAATTAGTACAATTCTAAATATCTCCTTTATTTTTATAAATAAGAATTAATGTACTTCTCCTCCACTCATCAAGCACTTTCTTGGACCGTAAAATCACATTAAATAACTTAGTTAACCATCTCACCCCTTCTTCACCTAAACATTTTCACGCTTCGATAAATATACAATCAGGTCCGTTGGCTCTACCATTTGCCATTTTCTTAAGAGCTTCCCTTACTTCCTTATCACGTATTATTCAATAGAATGACAAATTTTGTTCTCCTTCACCAGTTACTAAATCCTCCAAGTTACTAGATGAACCCTCTCCATCATTGAAAAGTTTGGAAAAGTAAGTCTCCCATCTATTTTTAATTTCATCATCTATAACTAAAATTCTTCCCTCTTCATCCTTAATACACCTTACCTGTTGTAGATCTCTTGATTTTCTTTCCCTACTCTTGGCAATCTTATAAATGTTTCGTTCTCCTTCCTTCGTCTCAAGGCTCTTATAAAATTCTTCAAAACTTTAGAACGAGCTTCACCCACAGCTCTCTTAGTTTCCTTCTTAGCCATACGATACCTCTCCCAATTTTTCTCATTGTTATACAAATGTATGGCTTTAAAACAGTTCTTCTTATATTTGATTTTGTCCTGTACACTATTATTCCACCACCAAGTCTCCTTATCTCTTGGACCAGAACCTTTTGATTCTCCCAAAACTACTTTTGCAACCTCCCGTATCTTTTAGCCATATCCTCCCACATGATGTTAGCACTTCCCTGAGATTCCCAAATTCCTTTGTCCAAAAGATTTCGCTTGAAAATATCTTGCTTCTCACCTTTTAATTACCACCACCTAATCCTTGTTGCTACTACTTGTCGATATTTTTGAATTTTACTCATAATACACACATCAGGGACTAGGACCCTATGTTGTGTCGTTACAGCATCTCCGAGGATCACCTTACAATTTTTACAAAGTCTTCTATCTGTGTTCCTAACCAAAAGAAAATCAATTTGTGACTTTGAGGTTCCACTTTTGTAAGTGATGAGATGCTCATCTCTCTTCTTAAAACAAGTGTTGGCAATCTTAAAATCATACGCCAATGAGAAATCAAGAGTTTGTCCTTCATTATTTCGCCCTCCAAAACCAAAACCACCCTGCACCCTCGCATACTGACCAGCCTCCCTCCCAACATGCCCATTAAAGTCTCCTCCAATAAAAATCTTTTCACTCTGTAGTATGTGTCGAATCAATCCCTCCAGATCCTCCCAAAATAATTCCTTAAGATTGGCTTTTGTCCCGACTTGCGGCGCATAAGCGCTAACAATATTAACAGTCTCACGTCCAATTATCATTTTTAAGGAAATAACTCTGTCTCCAATTCTGCTAACTTCTACAACGTTCTTCTTCCAATCCTTATCTATAATGATGCCTACTCCATTGCGTGTGCTTACTTTTCCTGTATACCAAAGTTTGAAACCTTGAATATCCTTGGCTTCTTCTCCATGCCATTTTGTTTCTTGCAGGCAAAGGATATTGATTTCCCTTTGAATCATAACCCCTACAACCTCTACAGATTTACAATTTAATGACCCAACATTCCAAGTACCAAATCTAATTTTGCTCTCATGGACTAACCTCTTTAGCTGCGCACGTCTAGAATGACGCGGTAGCTTTTGCTCATTTAACACTACATCCGGGCGCTGATGCAGTGGCTCTAACTCATTTATCACTGTACTCGAGCCATGCAGCGCGTTACTTACGGGCAACGACCTAGCATTAACATTATAACGTCTATTGTCCATGTTCATGATAGATTCAACAAAGTTTTACATTGGCTGTTGATGGCCTAACACAACCCTCCTCCTTTACCTGAGCTTGGGACCGGCTATAAACATAAGCGGAGTTTTGGTCAATACAGAGCATACAATACAAAATCTGTCGGTCCACTCAATTCCTCTCGTGATGCGCAAACTCCCATTCTTCCTTCTCCTCTATCGCACACTCCTGGAAACCTAATGAGTCTCATTACTTCATTATTTGCAATGGTCCCAATCCTTCCTCCTGTTCATCCATGGCTGTGGCAAGGAAGAGTTTCTTGATGATTGAGCACCTGCCCATGTCCCTTGTAATGCTAAATATGTTGCATGGAGGGCTAAAAACAGCCAAGTCATGTCCTAGTTAGTAAACTCAATGACCATGATGATTGGATGTAATTTCTTAGTCTACCATACTACACGAGATTTGGGAGGCAGCAGGCGAGCTTTATTCTTCAACTTTCAATACTGCAGTTCTGTTCAAATTAAAAGGCCAACTTCATGAATTGAAGCAAGCAACCATGACCATGACTCTTTATTACAATTCCTTGCTCCAACTATGGCAGCAAATCAATCTTTAAGGAACTCACGCGTGGTCATGTACTACAAATGCCAATTATTACGAAAAATTGGTTGACACTGATTGTAGTTATAAATTTTTATTTGGTTTAAACCCAAAATTTGAGGAAGTCAAAAGTCAAATCTTGACTCATCCTACACTTCCTACACTTGGGGAGGTCTTTGCTGTTATTAAACGGGAGGAAAGTCACAAGCATATCACTAGTGGTTCACTCCCGTCACCATCTAGAGAAGCCTCAACCAATGCAACTTGTGGACCCCCCCCCCCCACTAATGATGGTAAAGGCCAAAAGAACAAGCATTTACTATGTGGCACTGCAACAAGAAGGGTCACACATGATTCTTGTTTGAAGCTTCCTGGTCATCCTCCTCAAGATAAGAAACGGAAAAGGGAAAGTCACAGTTATGCAGTAAGCCATGAAGAAGACGAGAAACCAAATTATAATCAACTAAAGGAGCAAATTGATCAAATCCAAAGGCTACTCCATATCTATGAACAACCTCCTCTAGTAAGCACTACCACTAGTTTAATTGCCACCAAATCAAGTATGATTTCTGTCGCCTTACCTTCTGTTCGACATTCAAATTAGTGGATAGTGGATTCGAGTGCAACCAACTATATGAATGGGGATCAATCATTATTTAAAGAACTTAGACCCTATACAAAAATATGGGTAGTAAAAATTGCTGATGATTCATGTGTAGAAGTTACACATATTGGCACTGTTTTATTGTCAAATGATGTTGTGCTAGAAAATGTCTTATTTGTTCCTAAATTGGCCTATAATTTTATTTCTGTTGGAAGGCTCACTACACACAGCAAGTGTGAGGTTAACTTTCAATCAACTAATTGTGTTTTTCAAGATGTGAGGACAGGCAGGATAATTGGTTAGTGTGAAAGACTTGGAGATCTTTACTACTTTCAAAAGCCAATTGCTTCAAAGAAGACATGTATGGCTAGTATTTCATCTTGTCATAAGTCTACTGCCTTGGTTTTAGAGTCTAGTTTGCTTGAAATAAAATTATTACATAAGCATTCTAGGCATCCCAATATTGAATACTTCAAAAAAGTGTATCCTCAATTTTCAAATAAAGATTTATCTTTCTTTCATTGTGAGACGTGTTTTTTGGCTAAACACACAGGTAACAATTATCTTTCCTGCTCTTACAAGCCTATCCGATCTTCCAACCTTATTCACAATGATTTTTGGGGCCTCTCACGATTACCAGCACTAATGGGGCATGATGGTTTATCACATTTACTGATGATCACACATATTTGACTTGGGTCTATCTCTTGAAAAAAACAAAACCGAAGTTCCACTCGTTTTCAAAAAATTCCATGTGAAAATCAATTTCAAACCAAAATCAAAATTCTCTGAATTGATAATGGTCGAGAATATTTTGATTCAGCCCTTCATGACTACATAAATTTACACGGTATACATCACCAAAGCTCTTGTCCCAACACACCACAACAAAATGGCATTTCTGAGAGGCAAAATAGACAAATCCTTGATATGACTCGCTCTTTTCTTATAGCTTCTAATGTAACTAACCAATTTTGGGGGGATGCTGTTTTAACCTCCACATACCTTATTAATCTATCACCTTCCAAACCCCCTGATTTTCACAACCCACATCAAGTTCTTCTTGAAACATATCCTTTAATGCATTCATTTCCACTCAGAATTTTGGTTGCACATCTTTTGTTCATGCTTTCTAGGGGTCCAAATTAAGCCCAAGCCACTAAATGCCTTTTGCTGGGCATTCTCACACACAAAAGGGTTACAAATGCTATCACCCACTTGAAGGTATGTTGTTTCTAATGATGTCACTTTTCTTGAAACTCAACCTTATTACTCCAAAATGTCCATTCAAGGGCAGAGTAGTAGTCAAAATTGGCCATTTTTCAATTCTCAAAATAGTTTTCCAGCCGTGACACCAAACTTCACTCAACCCTCCTACTTTCAGCCCTTGAATGAACCTCAAACTACCTCTGACCAGCCCCAAGAACAATCTGCAAATTTTCATGAACAGAAAACTCCAGATTTGAGGATGAATGAATCTGTCCAAAATAATAACAGTGCTGAACAGCAGCAAACGCAGGCTCCAGTGCAGCAATCTTGTGCAGATAGTCGTAATACATCACACCAATCATCTCTTCCATCCCCAAATCCACAGTCAGATGATCTTGGTTGGCCTATTGCTCTACAAAAGGGAGTAAGATCTTGTACTACTAAGCATCCAATTTGCAATTTTGTTTCTTATGAGAGGTTGTCTCCTACTATGAAAGCTTTTACAGCTAGTGTGTCATTGGAAACTATACCAAAAGATGTGTAAGAGGCATTACAGATTCCTACATGGAGAAATGCTATTCATGTAGAGATAGAGGCCTTAAAGAAAAATAAGACTTGTGAGTTGACAAAGTTGCCCAAAGGTAAAACTACAATCGGTTGTATATGGGTTCTCACAAATAAATACAATCCATATGGGAGTCTAAACAAGCATAAGGCTCGACTAGTGGCGAGGGGTTTTACTTGGACCTACGGAATTGATTATCAAGAATCCTTTGCTCCAGTAGCAAAGTTAAATACTATCGAGGTACTTTTTTCTCTAGCTGCAAATCTTGCTTGGTCTCTACATCAATTAAATGTGAAAAATGCCTTTTTAAATGGCAACTTAGAAGAGGAAGTTTACATGGAGATTCCTCCTGGTTTCAAGACCGATGGAAAGAGGCAAAGTGTACAGTTGAAAAGTCATTATATGTCTTGAAACAATCTCCATGGGGCATGGTTTGAACGCTTTACTAGAGCAGTTAAAAAGAGTGGATACACTCAGTGTAATCTGATCAAACACTCTTCACAGGGAAAAAAAACCTATCCTAACTGTCTATGTGGATGATATTATCCTCACTGGTGACAACACCAGCTAGATAGAAAGTCTCAAGAAAATGTTGGCAACAGAATTTGAAGTGAAGGACCTAGGGACATTGAGATATTTCCTAGGCATGGGAGCGGCCAGATTAAAAGATGGAATTGTAGTTTCACAAAGAAAATATACTTTTGATTTGTTGAAAGAAACAGGTATGCTTGGATGTAGGCCATTTGCCACACCTATGATAAAGAAACAAGCACAACAGTTTCATATAGTACACATTCAAGTATAAAAATCAACATTCAATTGCCATAGGTCTTTCATATAGAGACCGTGTTAGGAACAAAATTATTAACTTGCACAATAGGGCTTGGGGGATAGGAGCATCCATATCCATACAATACAAGATAATAACTACCTACAAAACTAACAAAATCAATAAAAAAGCTAATCATTAATCAGATTTTAGTTTCACTATCAGCATCCAAAGACAGAGAAGAGAAGCAAGAAGCCGAGAACAAAGAATGATGAATGAATGAAGGTCTGACCTGTTGAGTTCAAGGATTCAGAGCAGCACGCACAGAGCTCAGACGAGATGAAGGACGCGCGCACAACTTGGCAGATTCAGAGCGTCGCACGCACACAGCTCGGCGAACGACAATTTGACACAAGCAGATGAATAAAGCACGAAAGCAGAGACGAGTTGCGCTGAGAAGCAAGAAGACGGCGAGGAAGAAGGACGACCTTCGAAGACTGAAGAGCCCGGCCGCAATCGCAAGATCCTGTTTGGTTCTGATAAGTGATAACCTTAATCTCACCGCAGGATTGAGGACTAACATGTAAAAAATTTTGAGCATGAAATGACAATGATACCCTTACTTTTTTCTTTGCGAAAAAAAAAAAAGTCAACTCTGCTAGAGGCTAGTCACCAAAACTTAAATGCTAGCAACAATTTCAATAGATTATTAGTTAAAGATAATTAAAAAAGGTTTGATTTCATAATTTTTTAATCATATAAAAAGCTTGTGGCCACTAGCCACCAAACCCACTTAAATATATAAAGCAAACATACATACATACATATATATATATATATATATATATTTATTTAAACTTTTAAATCGCATTTATGTTATCACATAACGATGTTGTGTTAATTTTTAAATAGCACTTATTATTTTATTAATATTATTTATTAATCTGATATAATTAATTATAAATTTGGAGTTTTAAAATTTATATATTTTACAAGTTCTCATTTGTAAATTAATATTTAAATGTTATTAAAATAACATGCTTATATAGGTAACAAATTTAGTTTCCAAACCATTTGTTTCTTGTAACATAATGGTAATTATTAATGCCTAAATGATGCTTGATATTTTAAAATTGTTACTTGTTAATCTAGTTAATTAGAAATTAGGATCTTTAAAATTTATGTAGTTTACTAATTCTCATTTGTAAATTAACAATTAAATGTCACTAAAATAACATGTTCATATAGGTAATAAATTTATTTTTCAAATCACTTGTTTCTTATAACATAATGGCAATTTGTTGATTCTTGAATGAAACTCATTATTTTATAATTATTACTTGTTAATCTGTCATGGTTAATTATAAATTGGGAGCTTTAAAAATGTATGTATTTTACAAATTCTCATTTGTTAGATTATAAATGAAAACTTGTAAAACACATGAATTTTTAAAACTCTCAATTTATAACAGACAATGTCAAATTAACAAATAACATTAATAAAATAACAAGCGTTATTTATAAATTAACAAGACATCGTTATGTGATAATATGAATGTGATTTAAAAGATTGGGTTGCTAGATATATATCTCATACATATATATAGATATATATCTATATATACATACATACATACATATATATATATATATGTATGTATATATATATAGATATATATCTATATATATGTATGTATAATATATATGTATTGCCTTATATGTTTAAGTGGGCTTAGTGGTCATGAGCTTTTTAGATGGCCAATGGATCATTAAATCAAACCCTTCTTGGCCACATTTAACTAATAATTCATTAAAATTGGCCACCTTTAACCAATAATTCATGAAAATTGTTGTCCAGGTCTCCAACCATGATGACCATGGGGTTTGACTTTTAAAAAAAAAAAAGTGCGGGTATTATTTTTATGTTATGCTCAAACTTGTTTTACATTTTAGTCTCCTAATCCTATGGTGAGAATTCAAATTCTTTTTATCTTTTTTCCAATAAAATGTACTCAGAGGTCCTTGATTGCTTTTTTTTTTTGTTAAAAAAAATAGTTGGCAACCAAAAATAAAGTCCTATAGCTAGACTTGTAAAATATGATGAATATTAAGATTATTTTTCAAAAGTTTATGCTAGTACATCCATACTTTTTTAGTGAATAACCACAGTCCAAAAAAGAAAAAAAGCGAGCATAATAAAATATAGAAATATTAAGTTAACCGAGATGATTTCACCAACTATACTACATGTATATCATAAAATTCATGTGGTAAGTTAAATGCATTATGAAGTCAAAGGAATATATGAGGATAGGCAAGTCGTTCAAACCAATTCAGAATTAAAAAAAAAAAGGCAAGAGGAAGATTAAATAATGACAACATGGTAATAAATAGCACTATACAAATGAAATTACGTTTTATTTTAAACATTGTATATTACCTTGACGAGTTTCAGAGAGATAAATCACGTTATAATCATGGACAACTCATAATGAATAAGAGCCATGTGTGAGACATGATAATATGCATAGGGATCAACTACTCAATCTCATGTCATTATATGAATAATAATTGCAACGATCATAATTTTGATTTTAGAAAATGTCTTCTTCCCTTGTGAAGTTTTTTTTTTTCCTAAACAAAAGAAAACAAAGGCAAGTATATTAACAAAAAGAAAATGAAGTCTACAAAGTAAGTGTTAAAATGGGTCTGTTAAAATAACTAGGGAAAGCAAGAAAAAGCAAAACATTAGGACCACATTTCTAAAGAGTATAAGCATTATAGTCCTACATAACTTTGAGATATCCTAGTCCACAAGATGTTGTCGATTACAACAAAAGCAAACCCTTTTGTTATGTCTAATGTAATATCTTGAATTTCAATCCCAGGAACTAGTTACTAGTTAGGGATAAAATAGTAATTGGTGGATTGATTGTGGTTTGAATATTGAGTTGATGCTTTATGTTGTTTGGGTGTTATATTGACAGGATTGAAGGGTAAAAATGCAATCCGATGCCAAATGTGCGAGTACAGGTAAGAATTTTCTCACTGTGCCATGCATCGCAGTGGAAGTTGCATGTGCTGCAACATATTGTCTATGAATCACTTAAAGCAAACGTGAACAACTTGGGAAAACAAAAGGGGAATTGCTGGAAAACGTGTTTTGGGAGGAGGGGAAGCTCTCATCTGCTAGGGCTTGTAATAACTAGAGCTCGGGAGTCTGATTCTAATAATAAATTGGTAAGTAAGTATCGTAAAATCCCAAGCTTCAATTCTACCCTATTTTTATTGAATTTCATCAGTTAAAAAAATCAAATCATAATATTCTAAGGTGTTGTAATATAAAAGAAAGAGTTAAAATGAGATATCGAATGAAGAATTAAGGTTTTGTGACTAATATAGAGTTGAATGGTTGAGCTTTGAGCATTTAGGCTCAAAATAGCCTAAAAGTTAGGTTAAAAGGATGAAATTTGTGGAATGAATGTGTTAGGAAGTTGTTGTAGTTGTTTGAGTGGCCTATAGGGCTAATGACTATAAATAATATATAAGTGAATTCAAAAGGGTTCAATTGAATTGTTTTATATGTTAAGGAATTTGATTTAGCTGAATCAATACTTGTGAAAAATGTTAAGAATTAACTGAAGGGCACTATATTATGTAGATTGAGTACCTATGAAGTTGCTCATGAGAATCTGCGCCCCTAGGAGCTTAATATGATTGGTAACCCTTAGTAGTAAGGGTTAAAGGTAATTGGAGTAACCTTTTTACTTATTTGTTTGTGAAATTGTTTGCAAGTATTTTGATATAACTATGTGCATTGTATTATGAACTGATAGAGTAGCAGCATTGTGAAAGTATATGCATGCGGGTATGTGAGTATCAATTGAAATAAATTTGAGATGACACATGCACTGACATGCATCACATCCGTGAGATATACCCTAGATTATGGTAGGGGAAATGCGGCCATACTGTGAGGAGGTCTGAAAAGTCTGGATGATCCAGAGTGTAGAGCTTGACTCCAGCAGGACAGACTTAAGAGAAGAAATCTTGATGATCCAGAGCATAGAACTTGACTCCGCCATGATGAACTTAGGATGTTGAATGATCCACGATGTTATCTTAGACTAAGGTAAGGTGTCATGGTCCTACTCTATATAAGGCTAAGAAGTATTGATGATCCAGAGCATAAAGCTTGACTCTATTATGATTAACCTAGGAGACCACCCATACAAAAAGAAATGACCTGGTCTGAGTAGTGGTATGGTGGGCCTGTTCCTTGTGACTGAAAGTCCTAGTCTGGGTGTAGAGTTTACTTTGCCAGGAGAAACCAAGAATGCATTATATGAGTGTAATGAGATTGGTGGGAATGAATTCATGTATATGCATATGATATTGCTTTATTTAACACACATGCTACTTTATCACTTGTTTATAATTTTACTTACTAACTAATAATTGGGGTTACCTCTAAGTTACTGAGATGTATGTCTCCTTCTATTACTTTTGAATACAGGTGAAGAGAGCATGAGAAGGCTGGGAAAGGAAGCGAGGAAAGAGTAGCATTGATTGGTAGTGGTATGACTACTATTGAGTTAGATGAATGTATAATGTGTTGTTAAAGTTTGAGTTGCCAACAAGAATGTATAAGTAATGTGTATATGAGTTGTGATGTGAATCTTGCTTGTGTATATATATGATATCACATTATGCCGAGGGTGCCCTAGTGTAGAGTGTGTGGGTAGGCTTAAATGCAAATCAAGTAAGTATATGTGTGTTGTAACGTGTTCCATTGTATGATTATGTGATGATTATATGTTGATTGTGACTTGTGTTGTGATATGAGAACTTAATACAAATGGTGTGAACTTGACACAAATAGTGAGATGAAGCCCCATTTGGAAGAGTCAAGTATATTTATAATTCTCGACCATATAGTGAGGCAGAGCCCTATATGTAAGAGTTAAAGGGTTAAAAGTGGAACAAGTCTAGTTGTATTTGTGAATATGTATTGTATATGTGTTTTCCTTATGTAAGACCACAACTATGTCATGAGGCTTTAAGAGGCCAAAATGGACTATTGATGTGATATTTGATATGTATGGTATTTAATCAAGTGTATGTAGTCCTTTTGGTCTTGGTTCAAGACCCGAAGTAGTCTAATGGGACAAGGAATGAGAATTGAGCACTTAGGGTGTAAGTTTTTGAAAGAAAAAGAGACTTTTTACACCCAGGTGTTTAATTTTAGATTGGACTGTCAGATCGAGTTCAAACTCATTCCATTAGCTAGTATACATTGTAAGCTTCGTGTACGCACTTGAATCACTCCAATTGAATGTCGGGTTTGAAAATGGTGCATGCCAAAAGTTCATTATTTTTATTGTCAAATGACAGTAGAAATTCGGATAGGTGCGCTGTAGCACATGATGTAGTAAGAAATAGAGCATGTGGTTTTGTGTTATATGCTGCAGTGCATGGCCCGCTTTCAAGGTTGAAAAGTTATGGCTTTTTGAGTCATTTGATTGTGTTTACACT